AATGGGCATCTTTTGGATATATGCCTAAGAGTGGAGTTGCTGGGTCTTGTGGTAGGTTTATTCCCATTTTTCTGAGGAATCTCCACACTGATTTCCAAAGTGGCTGAACCAGTTGGCACTCCCACCAGCAATGGAGGAGTGTCCCCCTTTCACCACATCCTCTCCAGCATAAATTGTCATTGGTGTTTTTGATTTTAGTCATTCTGACAGGGGTGAGATGGTATCTGAGAGTTGTTTTGATTTGCATTTCCCGGATGGCTAAGGATGTTGAGCACTTTCTCAAGTGCCTCTCAGCCATTTTAGACTCCTCTATTGAAAACTCTCTATTTAGTTCTGCAGCCCACTTTTTAATAGGGTCCTTTGGTGTTTTGGAGACTTGCTTCTTGAGTTCTTTGTAAATTTTGGAGATCAACCCTCTGTCAGATGTGGGATTAGTGAATATTTTTTCCCATTCTGTGGGCTGCCTTTTTATCTTGCTGACTGTGTCCTTTGCCTTACAGAAGCTTCTCAGTTTCAGTAGGTCCCATTTATTAATTGTTGATCTTAGTGCCTGTGCTACTGGTGTTATGTTCAGGAAGCTGTCTCCTGTAACAATTCGTTCAAGGGTACCACCCACTTTCTCTTCTAAGAGGTTCAGTGTGGCTGGATTTATGTTGAGGTCTTTGATCCATTTGGACTTAAGTTTTGTGCATGGCGATAGACATGGATCGATCTGCATTCTTCTACATGCCAGTCTCCAATTATGCCAGCACCATTTGTTGAAGATGCTTTCTTTATTCCATTGTATATTTTTAGCTTCTTTGTCAAAGATCAGATGTTCGTACGTGTGTGGGTTAATACCCGGGTTTTCAATTCGATTCCATTGGTCTACCTGTCTATTTTCGTGCCAATACCAAGCTGTTTTCAGGACTATGGCTCTATAATAGAGCTTGAGGTCAGGGATGGTGATGCCTCCGGACGTTGCCTTGTTGAACAGGGTTGTTTTGGCTATCCTGGGTCTTTTGTTTTTCCATACAAAATTGATTATTGTTCTTTTAAGGTCTGTGAAGAACTGTGCTGGGATTTTAATGGGGATTGCATTGAATCTGTAGATTGCTTTTGGCAGGATTGCCATTTTTACTACATTGATCCTACCTATCCAAGAGCATGGGAGATCTTTCCATTTTCTGAGGGCTTCTTTAATTTCTTTCTTTAAAGATTCAAAGTTCTTACGATACAGGTCTTTCACTTGTTTGGTTAGCGTTACCCCAAGGTATTTTATGTTGTTTGTGGCAATTGTAAAGGGTGATGTTTCTCTGATTTCTCTTTCAGCCCTTTTATCATCTGTATATAGCAGGGCTACTGATTTTCTTGAGTTGATCTTGTAGCCTGCCACTTTGCTGAAGGTGTTAATCAGCTGTAAGAGTTCCCTGGTAGAGTTCTTTGGGTCATTGATGTAAACTATCATATCGTCTGCAAACAGTGAAAGTTTGACCTCTTCCTTCCCAATTTGTATCCCCTTGATCCCCCTTTGTTGTCGTATGGCAATAGCTAGGACTTCAAGTACCATGTTGAAAAGGTATGGAGAGAGTGGACAGCCTTGTTTTGTTCCTGATTTTAGAGGAATTGCATTGAGTTTCTGTCCATTTAGTTTGATGTTGGCTGTTGGTTTACTGTATATAGCTTTTATTATGTTTAAGTATGTCCCTGTTATCCCAGATCTCTCCAAGACCTTTATCATGAAGGGGTGTTGGATTTTGTCAAAGGCTTTTTCAGCATCTAGTGAGATGATCATGTGATTTTTGTTTTTCAGCTTGTTTATATGGTGGATTACGTTGATGGATTTTCGTATGTTGAACCATCCCTGCATCCCTGGGATGAAACCTACTTGATCCGTGGTGAATGATTGTTTTGATGTGTTCTTGGATCCGATTTGCCAGTATTTTATTGAGTATTTTTGCATCAATGTTCATGAGGGATATTGGTCTGAAGTTCTCTTTCTTAGTTGTATCTTTGTGTGGCTTGGGGATCAAGGTTATTGAAGCCTCATAGAAAGAGTTTGGCAAAGACCCTTCTGCTTCTATTGTGTGGAACACTTTGAGAAGAATTGGTATAAGCTGTTCTTTGAATTTTTGGTAGAATTCTGCACTGAGGCCATCTGGACCTGGGCTTTTTTTGGTTGGGAGACTTTTGATGACAGCTTCTATTTAGGAACAGGTTTCTTTTGTATGGTAAATTTGCTGCCTGGGTATGGACCATTAAAATATAGCCTGACTCCCAGGTTCTACCAGTTTCTCAATAATAATCTTTGGCTCCTTGCCAGGCCCCTTTATGGCTATGGGATCGCATTGCTTATGACCATGGTGATGGTTTCCTTTATAGACCTATGAAGTGATTAGCATGCTCCCAGGCAGACTCAGCTTCACAACCCCAACTGAGCGTAATGGTATTCACCTGGCTTTTGGAAGCTTAAGGAGACATCAGCCAGGTAGGGATAACATTGGGTAGATTAGAGCCCCTTCTCTTTACCAGTGAACTAATGGTCCTAGGTGTGTGCTGTTCTTCAGAGCAATAGAGCCATTCCACTACAGCCCCTGAATGCGATATTTTGCAGAAATTTACCTGGAAGGTGGCATGGGTCACAGTGGATAGACTGGCTGTGAGATTCCCAATTCCAGTCTTTTCAAATTTCTGTACTCAAGTGCCGTTTTAACTTCAGCATGGTGGCTGTGCTCTAATCTACCACTGTTTCAGCCAACAATCGAGGCTCTGCAGTTACTGGTCTGCTTCTGCAGCTACATCCTGGCACTCAGGCAGAAGCCTGCTGGGAATTCTGCTTCCACAGGAACTGGCTCTGTTGTTGCTGCTAAAGGTAGCTTTAACTAAATGTCATAACTGGGGTGAAAACCTGTAAACTCAGAGAGGCTGAGTAGCAAAAAACTACTTTCTGGTGTGTCCAAAAGACCCATGTTTCCACTCTGCAAAATCAGAAAAATTCCCACTACTCCAAATGCATCTGTAGTACTCCCTGTGTCTACCTATCCCTCTGGTGCTCTATGATCACTTTCTGTCAATGAGTTGCTAACTCAGCCTCCTGACCCAAGCTCAATTTTATTTAAACAACACAATTGCAAACTCAGGGTTCACAGTGTGATCAAATATCCCCCAAACACCCAAGGTCCTGGCTTGTGGGGGTTTGGGGTCTCTTCTATGAGGAGACAAAAAAGCCTAATAAGACAAACAGCGCCAGTCTTATCTTTATGGGCTGGAGGCCCTAATGACAGCTAATTTTATCTTTTGTAGTCTCCTTCAGCTGTATGTGATGGGCCCAATGGCAGCCTTCACTGCTGTATGGGGTATGAGGACCACAAGATGGGCCTTTTCATGTTGGCTCCAGGCACTTGGTTGGAATCCTCTATCCACACAAGCTTACCAAGCTGGAACTTGTGGGCAGGCAAGGACACAGCCTCTCGACCCATCTGATGAATTGTCCTCTGGGTCTGTTGCAGAACCTGTAGGACCTGTAAAGACTTGAGGAGGGAATGGTTAGTAATTTTTGCCTTATGAACGTCTTGATAAGGGGTGTACCTGGCCCTTAAGAGGGCAAAAGGTAGGATACTGACCCAATTTTCACTGGTCAAGGACATATTTAGTTTACTTGTTCTGAGTTTTGTAACCTCTAGGCACAATTTAGTTTCCAAGCAGCTTTTAGGACCTTTAACAGATTTAGGAAAACTTTGATCATGAAGGCCTGGCAACTGTGAGATCCCAGGGAGATGGGCAACCCAAATCTTGGATTTTGTTTTAAATAAGGAATACCTGGGTCTGAGTAACTCAGCAGTTTTGGTTGCCTTCAGATGGGTGGCCTGATGTAGTTTTGTGACAGTCTGTCTTCTGATAACAGAAGAGAGTACAACCCTCTCATCTGGTAAGAACTATCACCCATTTGCCTTCTGTTTGGCATTTTGCCTTTTTGCCCGTTTGGCTTCTTTGTGTGTAGGTTGGGCTCTGAAGCAATTCAGGTTTGGGTAGAGTAACCAAGATCTGGAGAGGCCCAACTGGTTCCTGGTGGCTGCCTAGATTTCTGCTGCACTATTTTCTTGGGTCCCAGGGGATTCCTCATTTGACACACATTGCTCTTGGCTTCTAGTAGGGCCAGGGTTATTTCTTTGTTTTTTGATTGCTTTTTTCAGCTTAGGTAAGGAGCCTCTCTCTCTCTCTCTCTCTCTCTCTCTCTCTCTCTCTCTCTATATATATATATATATATATATATATATATATATATATGCCCCCATGGATATGGTCTATGGCAAATACATATTGTGTACACAGAGATAGCTTTGCCATTGTCACACCGAAGTGTCTGGATTGATGCCAGAAGCTCAGTCCTTGCGCTGAAGTCCCTTGCCTGAGAGACTCTACCCACACTGTACCCACACTGATAACTGTGACTCCTGGAATACCTGGTTTTGTCTTGAAAAAAAAACCACTCTCTTTTTGCACCTCTTCAGTTCTAATGGATGGACTGCACCGTTTACCTTCAGGAAGTGTGGACTTTGGTAGCATCAGAGCCCAGAGTGGAGGCTGAAGGCTCAGGGCCACCAGTCCCAGAGTGGAGGCTGAAGGCTCAGGGCCACCAGTCCCAGAGTGGAGGAGAGTTGGAGATGCAGCAGCTGTAGTTGCGGGGGCAGCAGCAGCTGGGGCTGGAGCTGAAACTGCTTGGATTCTTCCTTCACAGTGGCCACAAGCAGCTTCTGCCTTGTTAGTGCCTGCTTGGGGGAGCTGAGCTGTGAGCTCTGTTGTCCACAGCTGGTGGGGCTGGGGTTGGATTCTTCTGAAGCGTCAGTCAGCAATTGATCAAAGGGAGTCCTAGGGCCCTGGAACACATCAGGCTGTGCACCTCCTAAGATTCCCTTGACCACTGCACTCTTAGACTTGAGGTCTGGTCTCTGGGGAATATTGCTGGGGCCTCCTGAAGTGCTGTAATGTATCCACCAGAGAAGACCACTCAGACACAGGTGTAAGCCAATAGAAAGTCTTTATTAGACAGTCAGTGACTACACTGGGTGTTCAGGACCTCAGTACCTTTCTCAGGATGAGCTTTTAATTACAAAAACCGCACCCTGGTTCTGCACACCTCAACTAGCAAGAACAGGTAGCCAGAAGCAGAACTACATAAGCCAAAAAGCAAGGTTAGTACATTTAGAGACTTTCCCAGAAATATGGACTTGGATGAGTTAGGTCTTTGTTCTATTTTTGACAGGCTTTGGTACCTATATATGCTGGGTTCCAAGGCCTAACTGGTATTCCCATTGTGGTGTTAGTTGTGTTAAGGTCTGGGGGGCTATTACATGGGTTATTAACAAAAAGACCAGGACATTTTAAGGTGTGAGGGGGAATTTGTTGTAGGGGGTAGAGTGAGTAGAAGAGAAACTGGGAATATGATCAAGATTGCATGCATACATCAAATTGTTAAGGAATGAATAAAAACATTAAAAAGAACCTCAGTTCTTTGAAACTAAATAGATCAGCCCCAGAAACCTATGAAGCAAGGGATATCTGTGCTCTTATTGAAGTCCTTTCATTTTGGGGCTTTACAATTGCATATCAACATTTTTTTATTTCCCTCTTCCAAGAAATTTAACTGTACCATCCATTTGCCAAAATTTTAGTATTTAAAGTTGAAAGTAATATAGCATGTTGTCTCCTCTTGAAAGTCAGATGTTTCTGCCATCTTGTTTCCATATCTATACCTTCATGACCCTCAACTTCCATTGCTATAAATTCTTCTATAGCTTTTCCCAAAAGTTGACTCCTGAAAGCTCATAAGACAAATACCTTAGTGTGTGATGGTACATGCCCTAATACCAGCAGTTGGGGTGGGGAGGGGCAGAAGCAGGTACATCTCTGTGAATTCACGACCAGCCAGCGGTATACAGTGAGACTGTCTCAAAAAAAACAAACAAAAACCTAACTACCCTTTGGTTAGGACTCTAGAAACCATTGGGATAATATATGTGCCAAAAAGAGAAATCACTATTCATGCTATAACCCCAGTGAGTGCAATGGATCTAGTCTACTGAGGGTGAGGTAGCCTTTCTTCAGGTATATGTGGTAAGTTTGTTTGTTTGTTTGCAGTGGGGTAGGCTAGCAGTTTTGGAAAAGTAAGCAGCAAACATCACCACAGCAGGGCTGCATTACTCTATCACCAGAAAACTCACTTTCTTATTTGCTTTGGAGGATTAGAGGTAGGATGAAGGGATGAAGCATGATTCCTAGGACAGTGTAATTGTTCTTACAAGGCTGGCCAGTTTATTACAACCCAGCATTACAGTGAAGATCTGGGGCTGGGGAGCAAAAACCCCAACATATCCATTAGGTGGCCGATGGGGCACTCAAGTGGCAAGTAACCATTGAACTATGTTTAGTCAAAGTGTGGGGGAAACAGGTGAGTTTTCTCAAAACCAACTAGTAGTTCACTTACCAGTGATGATCCTCAGGGATTGCAGGCACTTCACATTGTGATGTTTATTATCACAAAGGTCCCGCCTGGCTTTAGTGCAGGCAGTAAAGTGAAACCTAAGAGATGTCTTCAGGGCTCAGAATAACCACTGGTAGAGTCACAAGAACCACAGAACACACAGGAATGTGTGACATTTCTGTAGGACTTGGAGTAACACTGATGAGTGGTTTTCATGTCATCCCCATCTGTGTGCATAAGAAGGTCTGATTTTGTTATTTTGAAGATTTGTTTCTTTTTTCATGCATCTGCCTTCCTCATGGCAACTCATTGTGTGCAAGAATATGAAAACAGTTGTTAACAGCCTGAAAGAAGACAATGTTCTTCACTTTATTGTATTCTTCATACCCAAAGGCCTTGAGATAAGTGATGTTTCACGTGGGGAAAATATTTCCACTGACTTCTACAAAGTGTCAGACAATATTCAGGAAAAAACTTTTTCCTTGACTGAACCATTCCCTGTTCTGTGGGGTAGTCCCTCTTTCAGACCCAAGCATGCTTATATCAAAGATTCTTCCAAGGTTCCTTGTCTGAGGACAGACAGCCCAAGAGTAAAAATACCATGTCCTTATGAACAGGAGGGCAAATTGTTGAAATAAAAACCCGAGTCTTTAAACACAACTGGGAGATAAATTGCTCCTGGGCATCCTTTCAAGATCAAAAGACTTGGCTACAACTCATCCAGTGGCAGAGAAGCATGCACAGTGGGAAACAGAAGCCGGGAGTCAGCTGTGGGAAGTTCAGCTGTGGGAAGTTCAGCTTTGGAGAGAAAGTTTAATCAAAAGCTCTCCTTGACTACCTCAACTTGCCCACTGGTTTTTCCAGTGTGCAAGCCCGATTTGATGCTGCTATCTTTATGATGGTAATTGTTCTTATCCTAAGGCACAGGTTCCTTTGCTTTGAGAACTCCAGCTGAGTGCTTTAATGGAGCTTCCTTAGGTTTCTGCTGGGTGATTTGATGATGTCAGTCAGTCTCAGGCAGTATGTCTGTCTGGATATCTCCCCTCCCTCCACATGCTCCCAAAAGGTGAACTTGATCACCTCAGTAGATGTACCTTGTATTCAGAATTCCTTCCCTGCCTTAGTGCTGAGGTGGGATTAGCAGGCAGCCCTTCTTTCTATCCAGAAATATTTAAAGAAAGAGACAGGCAAATATATCCATTGTAAGCTTTTTCTTTTTTTTCTTTTTTAGAATTTAAGCTTATGAGTATCTATGCCCACTATATTCATAATTACAATTTAATATCTGCATACAAAAGCTATGTAAAAATCCATTTTCCCAAATATACAAATTTACTTTTTGGATAGTTTAAAACATTTTGATCACAGATTTCAACAATTTCAGTCTGAAAAAAAAATATTCCCAATCTAGCAATATCACTTAACATTGTTTGCAAAACACAAATCTTCCACTGACTGTAAACCTCTCTATTTTGAACCATTTGTTTTTCCTGATTCTCAGGGCATGAAACATTATGGAAAAGAGACTCGTCTTCTCTGAAGAAAGCATGGATAACTGCTTTGGCTACATGATGTCAAGTGAAAGGCGCCAAGGTCACAAGGAACTACTAACGGGAGGAAGTGGCACCATGCCCTGACCGCCGGAAGTGGCATCATGCCCCGACCGTCGGAAGTGGCACCATGCCCCGACCGCCGGAAGTGGCACCATGCCCTGACCGTCTCTCCCCATCAGCACATCGCTTGCCCACAGCCTCTTCCTTTGCCTCAACGCTGTGCTCCCTTGCGTACTGTCCGCATTCTCAGAGGAAAGACTCACATTTGATTGTCTTGTGCATAAGGTGGGTCAGCTTGAGCTGTGCAACAGAAAGCCACAATCAGTGTTTACCTGCAAAATATTGCTCCTGAAGGCGGCATTAATTAACATGGAAACACACTAGAAATGTGTAATTTTTCATTTGCAAACATTTATACAGCACAGTAAAAATTCTGTGATAAGGCCAAACCTTTTTTCTCCCTAGCCTTTTTTTTGTATGTGTGTGTTTTTAATATCTTTTTTTTCTTTTTTTAAAGATTAAAGTAAAATGTCTCAATTGTAAAAAATACACACCGGGCAAATCCTTACCTGGATAATAAATATCTACATCACAGTACAATAAAATTTCTTCTCTATAAAATTTAAATATGGATCAGTCTAACGCTATCAAAAGAAACACTATGCTAATATTTCCATATTATTAAAATAACAGGAAATTATGAGCTTATTTTAGGACCTGATGCCATCGCCATTGGAAAGGGCAAAGAGATTCAATTGTCATCTCTCATTTTGAGGAGGACCTGTGGTTTGGTTATTCACTTAAATTAAGTTCTTGAAAAAGGTTTAGCCTTACAAAATGCTGGCTACATCTCAAAAACCATAAGACTGATTTCATAATTTATGACTCATGCAGCAAAAGGTCAATATGACATGGATAAGGTTTGAGTTCCACAGAATGAAGATGTCTTAGTGACAATGACATGCTCTGAAGAGGCCCAGCAGGTCATGAGGCTGGGTTGGGGAGGGCTGAGTGTGAGGAGATCAAGGCATGGGCCCCAGCCTGCAGGTTAATGTGAGAAGGACACTGCACAGCCAGGGGAGCCAGCCTCGCTCCCCCCTAGATTGCACTGGGACGGATGTGGCTCTAGGACCACAGGCGGGGATGCGCTGGGCTGAGGCTCCAACACACAAGCGCATCACCGAGGGTTGAGGCTTATCACACCAGAAGAAAGCTCAGAGGCAGCCGGCACATGGTGTTTTCAGCAGAATCTAGAGAAGAAAAGTTGTGGTCTTTTTTTCTTCCAGTTTCTGGAAGTTCTGCACTTTGACACTGCAGTGCAAAGTGCGCACGAGGGAACAAACACACGTATGCACACACACACACATGTCTGTTGCATGTGCACAGCCCTCTCATTTATACATATGATTTGTAAGTGAGCATCCCAGCAGGATGGGCATGCTGTCCTTGACTGGAATTTCCCCCCACAGTGGGGCAGGTGAGAAGGTTTTTTTTTTTTCCCATCACATCCACACTTGATTTGAAAGTCTGGACAAGATTAGAAGAAATGCTTTTTAAAAAGAAAAAAGTTGGGAGCCAATGCCTCACAATCTAGTTTCATAAAATGGAGTTTCCCAGAGGAGGGCGTGACTTCAGTCATTCTGACTTCCTGGCGTTCCTGTTCCTTCCCGCCAGAAGACTGAAGCTTGCATATCTTACTCAGTACGAATGCTCAGCCTTCAACACACTTGCTAGACCAGGTCTGCCCCTTGAAGGTCAGCTTTAACAGGCGAGGATCATGAGCTGAGGTTGCCCGGCCAGCGGGCCGAAGATTGGGCTAGTTCCCAGTGCTGGTTAATCCCTAGAGCACTCTGCATGACCCCGGTCCAAACCCTGCACTAACGCTGGAATCTGGATGTCTGATGTCTTTTGGGAACAGCCAGAATCCGGAAACTTCCTCAGAACTCTAGTGTCCCGTGTGTTTGTGCGCCTGCGCAGGACTCACCTGCCAGCCTCTTTCAGAACTTGCCACACAGCAAGCTTGTTTTTCTTGTCCGGGCTTCTCCAGGAGAGTTGACAGAGGAAACAGATGTTTAATGAAGTTTGTGAGGGAGGAGGCTAGCTACAGGCTGTCTGGGAAAGCACATCCTTGACAGATGTTTACCACGAGTCTATGGGGCTTCTTGCTTCTGCTTTACTGTCTACACCAAGTCTACAGCGCTTGTCGTTTCCTGTACCTGGGAAGTCTGTGTAAGGGCTTTAGTGCACACGTGTGTAGTCTCCCTAGTCTGGGGACTTTCAATGCTGTGCCTCTACTCTTTCAATGTCATTCTGCCTTCCTCTGAGTCAAAGTCTCATTTTGAATAAAAGCCAAATACATTCCTTAATTGTGAGTGGGACTTGCTTTTTGTCTGATAAAGCTACACATTTGAATATGAAAGGAATTTTTCAAGGGTCCCCTTTGCCCTTTACAGGAAAGTCATACAACAGAGAAAATAAGAGGGACTTTAGGAGGCTGACTTATTTACCCAGTAAGAAAATTGAAACTATGAGGTCCTAAACCGATCAGGCTGAAGAGCACAAAGTAGAACTCAGGTGCCTTGACTTCCAGAGAGGCCAAGAATGCTCCACCAAGCCTAATGAAAGCAAATGAGTGTCCTTACTCTTCACAGTGACTTTCTTTCCTTTGTTTCTAGGTAATTCTTGCTGATATGGCTTGTTTTCCCCAAAATTTCCAGGATAAGGCAGTGAAAGGCAGGCAAAGGGTTAAGTTCATATCTGCTCTGTCAGTGAAGAAGGGGGATACATTCAGTTGCATGGGTACATTCTTTGCCCATTTGCAGAGAAGTTGCCACTACTACTTTCTCAGGAACATCTACTCTACGCTGGTCATTGTGGGTAGGGCTGGACAGCAAAGGTAACAGTATGTTCTTATGCGTGGTCTGCAATTGTTTTATGAGTACTCTTTGTCAGCGTAATGATGCATAAGATACAGAAGAATTAGTGTTTAGAGAGAGTCAGGCTGTTTAGTGCCACAGAATGTGGTGGAGAGGTGGAGGGTGGGTGTGGGGAGCTGGGAGACACTTGTGAATATGAATCCAAGACCGGGAAAAGCATCCTCCAAGCCATGGTACACCCTATACCCATGAGTAGTGCATTTGCTTTGAATCAGAATGTTCCTGCACTGATCTTTTCCAGGGATTTTTCCAAACAAGCCTAGAATTTCAACATGTACGTCTCTCCCTGATTGGAAGATCTAATCCGTAGGGAAATGTCATCATGGACAACCTGGATAAAGACCTTTGTGAGCTGTGGAAAGGACTGGTCAGAGGCCACACAAAAAAGGACAGCACTCTGTAAACAGGCTTGAGCTTTTGTGGGAATGGCTTATGAATCTATCCAAGCTGTGAAGACACCTTCCTGCTTGAGGTAATACCACTTGCATTTTGGAAGCTATGCTTGTAACATTGATGAAGCTTTCCAAGTTTTGTGGGCATGCCAAGAAAACGATTTTCCCTGTGGCCGCAGACAGCCAAATACCTGCATGTCTTCAAGTCATACACTTGTCCAATGTGAAGTAAATCACAACGTTCCAAAAGGCCATGGAAAGGAAAGCTGATTTGTTATGGTGTGACTATTCCCACACATTCTAAGTCACGCTGCTTGGAGAGTAAGGGTGCTGCTGGAAATGTTGAGCTCCTGAGTAAGTAGCATCGTTCCTAATGCTTACAAGCTGAAAGCCACACCCTATGGGATGGGCTGTGCTCTGCCGGCTTCGCTCTGCAAACATCAGAGCTGGATCAAGATGACTGTGGTCTTGGTTTTAAGGCTTCTTTAGTCTTCTGCAATACCATTTGGCTTGCTTGAGTCTCTGACCAGGGACAGATGGGAGCTGGTGATGGCTTGGTGCTGGTGAAATTAATGATTGTCCCTCACTCAACCTCCACTGTTGTAAACCCTCCAAAGCATTCACAATAAGGACTGGAGAACAAAATGCAACAGTTACAAAGACCCACATTCAAGAGACAATTTCATTCCAGTCTATGCCATTGATGACCCGCCGACCCCCTGATGATCCCACCCAACACGGAAAAACAAGGAAACAACAACAGAAAGAGCTAGAGGTGGAATGGAAGGACACTCAGTAGCGATGCAGGAATGACAAGAACCTGTCCAGTCCATTTAGTCCTCAAATACTTCCAAGAACAGAGGCGGGAAGAGCTCCGTGGGGCACTCCACCTTCATGTGGAGGAAGCGGCTGGCGTGGCAGGCTCCGATCATCCGCAGGTCTGTCACCTTCATCAGGAGTTTGGGCCAAAAGTGTGTCACGTGGTGCTTTCGGTAATTGATATAGTGTTCAAAGGCCAACAGGAAACTGTCTTGGTATTTCTCGATTCTCTCAACGCAGGCCAGCCCTGGTCGATCTGAGGGGAAGAGGATGATGAATGTTAATTTAGAGATGGAAGGAGGGAGCTTGTCTGATTCAGTTCCAGATTGGGGGACTTCACTGCTCCTAGAAATGAGTAAGAATGCAGCATGGACTGTAGAATACCAGATGCCAATTGACAGTTGAGATGGTAGATCTGGGGGGTGTGGTGTTAGTAGATCTGGTGGGGGGTGTGGTGCTGAGATGGTAGATCTGTTGTGTGTGGTGCTGAGATGGTAGATCTGGGGGGTGTGGTGTTGAGATGAGTAGATCTGGGGGATGTGGTGCTGAGATGGTAGATCTGGTGGGGGGTGTGGTGCTGAGATGGTAGATCTGGTGGGGGATGTGGTGCTGAGATGGGTAGATCTGGTGGGGGGTGTGGTGCTGAGATATTAGATCTGTGTCTACACTACTCCTACCAGATCTACCAGTTCCCCTCCATTACGGACTTATTCCAAAAGAAATGTCTTAATAAAATCCATTTCTTTCATAATGATAACTATGAAAACAAATGCATGGAGAAAAATGTATTAAATAATAAAAATTCCTTCATTAAGGCAAAGGTTCTTACTGAAGATTTTGTGCCCTTGAGCATTTCCTTGCTAAAAACAGGGTAGCAAGTATTGCAGAGGTGTTAAAATCAGACTAGCATCATTCTCTCTCTCTCTCTCTCTCTCTCTCTCTCTCTCTGAGACATATTTAGGACTTACAGTCAGAATAAATTACAGAAGAAATAACTTTTTCCCCATGTAAGTCAACATTATTAAAATGTGCCTTTGTGCCAATAATGACTTGGCTAAAACTTGCTTTCATTCCCTCCATGAAGATATTTCCCACATACATTCAGTTTCTATTTCAGTGGGTCACTTTAGAGTGAGCCCATAGAAGGGTTCCAAAATTTATTTCTCTGAGTACTTTGTATTCCCCAAAGGACTCGGGGTCAAGTGACCACTAGTTGTAGCTTGGATACCAGCTGTGCAGTTCTCCTGCTGTCTGAACTTTCTCCAGACATATGCCAAATCTCACAAAGCCACTAAGGTCCTTGTTGAATAAGTCTGGTAGCAATAATTTATGCTACATATGGAATCACATAAGATAACATTGAATTTGCGGGATTCTATTGGTTAAAAGCAAGTCACAGGGAAGGAATTACACAGGGTGAGAACAGCAGATAGTGAGAAAACGGAGTGCCCTGGAGGTTCTCCCAAGTCACCAAGAGAGTTCAGTGTGCCATTCTGTTTGTATTTGAAAATTCCCACAAAATAATTTTAAATATTATTGCTTTTAAGATATCTTCCATACCTAAATTTTATGTAGGAAATGAATTTTCTAGGCCAGCTTAAAAATACTTAGCAAGCTTCAGCTCAATAAAAGAATTCTCAAGGTATCTGTGACCCAGGTTTTGTGACTGTGTTTAGCCACATATCCAATCAACAGTTTTTGGAGTCTACTGAACACTGATTAGACACATCTGTGACCTTGAAGGGTAACTAGACCAGCGGGAGCTATAGGAAAGCTAAGCAATACAGAAGAAATAAAACTATATTCTGAAATGAAGAGGACAGCCTGAGCAATTTTCTGCATTTCAGGACTAGCTAGCTTCCCTTAAATAATGCAGTGTGCTTTGCATTTATTTATTATGACATAAATAAAAAGAGGCGAGTGTCAGCTCTGTCATGACACCTCCACTGTTGGGAGCTAGAGTTCTGACTAGCACCTGAGCTTGGTTAAGAAGATGGTGTCAGGCTAAAGACAGCATCATGTCCTCCCCGGTGGGGTGACTGGTGAGCTAGAATGTTCAGTGGTGGCTGCAGCTAGGACTAGTTGGCAAATGAGTCTGAAGGGACGCTGTGGGACTTAGGTCTGGTGAGCTTTTGCTTTCATTGAAGTCCTCCTCCTTGGGACCCAGCAGCATGTAAGAAGTCTGAGTATTCTTACAGAGGAAGGGCTGCTAGGCGAGGCTTCTGCAGGTGTGGTCCAAGGCTCAGCTCCAGCTCTGGCTATCTTGGATTTCTTAAGCACCTGTTTTTGTTTGTTTGCTTTGTTTTATTTTATTGTTTTTTTTTTTTCCTAGACAGGGTTTCTCTGTGACTTTGGAGTCTGTCCTGGAACTCTCTGTGTAGACCAGGCTGGCCTCGAACTCGCAGAGATCTGCTTGCCTCTGCTGTGCTGGGATTAAAGGTGTGTGCCACCACCGCTATACAGGAGGAGGAAACTAAAACTTGAGCCAAGGTTCCACAGGATGGCGTTGTCACTCATATCCAAATGGGTGAAGCTGAGGCCGGCAAGGGTGGATGACTTTGTCTGTCCAAAGGGGGTCATTTCATCGCCCCTCCCCCATGTTCCCTAACTGAACTGGGCACCGGGCCAAGATTTACACAGTGCCTCAGCTAACCTTCACAGTAATACAGTGAGGTAAATATTCTAATTTCAATTTTATTTAGAGATATGCAAACTCGGGGAGCTGAATGAGAGCATGCTGGTTGGGGCTTCATATGAAGTGGGTGGGTTTTGTGGGTGAGGTAGGGATTTGAAGCAAGCTCTGTCAGAGTCTAAAACCAAGAGAACACACACTTCTGACATAGCACAGCCATGACTGTTCCCACCAACAGGCTCAAAGAGCATCTGAGTGAGAGGCCAGAGTGGACTCCAGTAGGTTTCAGGCCAGCCAGAGCTATTCAGCTTCATACTCTATCCACCCTGCACTCGGTTCCCTGTCTGCTGACCCCTCTAGTTTCTCGCTGAAGGAGAGCCAACTAAGACTCCAAAGCTAATGGGAGACAGAGAACTCATTAAATTAGCGCCAAGCCCTTGAAGCTGCTTTCACACCCACTGAGCATCTTGGTACACTCACCTGAAGACATCAGCAGGACGGCCTGAAGCAGGGCAACTTCCGTGTCATCCAGGTTGAAAGATGACAGAGACATGCCCAGGTCAAAGATGGCATCTGACACCACCCCAAGACCCCCATTTTTAAGCTGGCCCCGTGTCACTGCCATTTCCCCGTTCAAGGTTAGAGTCTCGCTCTCTGGGTCGTAGCGCACGGCGGCTCGCAGGGACATGATCTCCATGCAGCAGCCTTTGAGAAGGATGATCTGGTCTTCGCATGGCAGCTGCAAAGAAGCAGGCACATCAGTGCAGAACAGGAAGACAGACACCAGCCATGGTGTCTGCAAAGCAAACCTACGTTTGCCTTCTCTGAGCCCTCATTCTCTACCTGGGGCAACATTTACAACCATCTTTTTATTGGTTTGTTTTGAGACAGAGTCTCCCAGTGGAGTGCTGGCTGGCCTGGAACTTGCTAATCAGACTAAAGTGGCCTCAAACCCATGGCAATCCTCCTGCCTCTGCCTCCTGAATGCTGCGACGACAGGTATGTAACACTATACCTGGACTTAACTACTTTTTAAAAAAAATGTATATGGGTGTTTTGCTTGCACTTATGTCTGTGAACTGGAAGGGGTCATTGGGTCCCGTAGAACTAGAGGTACAGATGATTGTGAGCTGTTGCATAGGTGCTGGGAATTGCATCTGGGGCCTCTGGCAGAGTAGCCAGTGTTCTTAACTGCTGAGCCCCAGCCCTGGCAACCACTATTTTTTTTAAAGCCCCAAGCTGATTAATCTCAACATCTTACATTTCTTTTACCACAGGTCTCCCACGGGTGTTACAGTCACACAGAGGCCTCTGTTAGTCACCCCTTTATTTGGGGTTTGTACTGTAGTTTTCCTTGAAAGTGGCGCTGAGCCGGGTACACGTTTCATCTTTTTTTATTGTCTGGAATATCCTGCTGACTCTGCTCAGCAGGCACTCGTGCTCTTTTGCAGGAAATTTGCTTCCAAGTGTCTCAAAAGGTACAAAACTGGAATGCTGGAGCCAGATGCAAGTGACCAAGGTGGCCCAGAGACATACAAGCTTCACTCATTAGTCAACCAGCAAACCAAGGGCAGGGGTAAAGCCAGAACTAGGGTGTTGTGGCTCCCAGGTTTCTATTCTTGGCTACAGACACCAGAGTCAATGGACAAACAAGGTCTTTCTGCTCAGATTTCAGGTCATTTATAGCTCATTTGGTCATCATGTCAATTAGATTTTATGACAATGGGCTAATAAAACTTTATAGCAGAACTCTGTGTGACAAAATGGTAAAAACAGAAATTCGTTTTTTGGGGTTGGAGAGAAAGTTCAAGAAGAATTCAATGCCGAATCATTTGGAAGGGTCTGAGTAACTGTTACAACTTGGGTTTCATGCCAAGATTACACAGTCATTTTTGATCATCTTCACAGTAGTACAGTGCGGGACATTCCAGTTTCACTCATGCTTGTAAAAAACAGGTACCCAAAGTGTAACATGCTAGTGTGTGGGTGGCACAGGGATGTTTTGTAGATGAGGCAGGGGTTTGAAAGTAGTTCTGTCACAATTCAAGGT